TCATGATGTTTAGATGTACCTTAGAGTGTTGAAATCAACTAGAAATTATAGGTATATTACTAAGGAACATGTACAAAAAGGTGGGGAACGAATGGGGAGAAGTGGCGTCCCTGGAGCTCTGAGAGGCGCGGGGCGCCAGCCCTCAAAGTTCAAAGAACTTTCTGTGGCACTCTGGCTAGCGCGACGCGCCAGAGTCCAAAGTTCAGAGGAACTTTCCCTTGCCCAGAAAACTCCAATTTTTTTCCTTCGTTTTTCATCTCAAAACCCTCTAAACTTCCATAGTTCTTTCCCCAACCACTTAGGATCATTAATACCCTCAATATCCAATAGATTTAACTCGAAAAACAACCCTGAAACACAAATCAAGTCAACACTAGGCATTCAACAATCAACCAACAAGAATTCAACAATGTTCTTCAAGAACTTCACTTTCTTAACATTCAAACAACTCCAAATTTGCTGAATTGAAACAAGTTTGGTGTGTGGGTGAACTAACCCAACACTATGTGATCTCACATACCTTGTAGGAATCACCCCTGACGAATTCCACTCGCAAGGCTTGAACGTTCTTGGCGAAATCTTGGCTTTTCTCCCTTTCTTTCTTTCTTTCTCTTTTCTCCAAGCCCTAAGCGTGAAATTAATTTTCTAATCTGACCAAAATAAGTTTTTACCCCAATAAATCCCTAAAAAAATATTAGGAAATAATTTAAAGAAAAGACTACTTTGCCCTTCCCTAAATCCGGATTGAGACTTTCCTCAATCCAACAACCCAACTTCCGAAAGGCATATCTCACTCATATGATGTTGAAATCGCGCAAACTTGGCGGCGTTGGAAAGATATATCTAAGGGATTTCCAACCATATCAAGAGCTGCTCCTAACTCATCTTGATATAGGATTTATGACCTTTTGAAAATGGCCAAAACCCACTTTCTTAACTTAGACAAAAATTTCCAGATTTCCTTATTCTTTCCAAAAATCAATATTTTCATATTTTTAAACTCTTTATAGTCGTTTCTAGGTGCGAAATGTTACACCTTAGAAGACCTTGATCATTCAGATAAAAAACTAAAGGTTTTGATGAACAAAGGCAAAACAGGAGGACCTCAAGGAAAATTCAAAATCGGGGGTGGATCAAAATCCATAAAAGAAGAAGAAATCTGGCAACAAACAGTTATGGAAAGAAATTTTTCTCCCAAAGAAAAAAGGAATAAAGATCTCATGAGTCAATACCATAATAATAATAAATCCAAATATATGCCTAACAGACTCCCTACAGGAGATGCAGGATCAACCCAATTCTTAGATCTAAATTGTAAAAGGGAACCAGAATTAGATCTAAATATATGGGCTCAAAAAATATTTCTCTTCTTCCTACTAGGAAAAGGTGTAAGTTATTCTGATGAAGAAAAACATATAATTATGATAAACACTCTCACAGGAAAAGTAAGCAACTGGTATACAGGATTGTCCGATGATGCAAAAGGAATCATCAAAAATAATACTATCGAAGGATTTAAAAAATCCCTCCAAGAAGGAATAAAAACCCTTGTACAATTCAAGGGTGGAGAAGGAACCACCACTTAGAATAGAGAAAAAGAAAGGTTAATTGCAAAAGAGCAATTAGAAATTGCAAATCTGCAAAATGAGCTATATTCAAG